CGAGGTGGAAGGGGGCGGGGGGTGGACGGAACGAAGGGGGAAGGAGGCAGAAAAAGAGGAGTGGGAGGAAGAAGAGGAGAAACAGACTGAAACGGGGGAGCACAGCGGATACGGATGAGGAGCAGGGAGGAGGAAGATGGAAGGAGGGGAACATGGTGGGAGCAGGAGATGAACGGAGGGAACCCTGAGGGGGGGAGGGAGGAGGAGGAGGAGGGGGAGGAGGACAAAAAAAAGGAGGAGGAGGAGGAGGAGGAGGAGGAGGTGGAAAAGCAGGGTCGGAGGAAGAAGGGAAGGAGGTGGAGGGGTCTGTGACTCCAACGGACATCCTCGAGGCGTGCTCTCCTGACGACCCGGGAGCAACGGTATGATCGTGGGCCGGCACGGCTGCATGTGGCCCCCCTGTGCCTGATCTCATCGGGCCTGCTGACGCTTCAATAAAGGGGCCCCGGGACACACAAATAAATACACACAAATAAAAAGATTCCCCATATTTCCGCATATTTTCTGGGTTTTCGTCTTCCCCACCACTTCCCATATTTTCCCATATTTTCTGGGAATCGACGATTAATTGTGTCTGTGTGTTTCTTGCCCTCCTGATTCAAGGGGATCACTCCCGCAGCATGCCACCGACAAGAACGTTCCGCTGGCTTTGGTTTGCGGGGGCAACGGACGGGCCTGCCGCGGGCAGCCCCCCACAGAGCCCACAGATCAACCGCGGCCGCGGTCGGCAGCAGGAGGACGAGAAGGGCACGAGAGAAGTGGATGCGAAGACAAATGTGCAAGACGAAGCGCTCCGACTAAAAGGATGAATGTGTCTAAGATCTTGTCTAACAGCGACTATGATAGCGGGCGCGGGGCACGGTACCAGTTTCAGCCGGCAGCGACCAGCGCAGGCAATAATGGGATGAGAAAAGCAGGATCGGAAGGCATACGGTTCAAACCTGGTGCTCAAACACGTCCGTCGTGACCTCCCTGGTGCCAACGTGCTGCTGAAAGTGCTCTACTGACCGCACTCGTGAAACATGCCTGCAATGAGCGCTCTGCTGGCCACGGAGCACACGCTGAAACGACTGCTGCCGTTCCGTTGACACAATCAGATGGAGAAGCACCCAACAGAACGCACAACTTCCTCGGAGCTCTTGACCGTGAATGCCCGCAGAACTTAACCATCCCGCGACTTCTTGGCAGGTCGACTTGCCTGACGGCGAGCACAGCTAAGCTGATCAAGCGCCGGAGCTACGGTGGTCGACCTTGCGACACAGTCACACGAGTCGCCCTTCACTGCTGGGTGAAGGGATTGCGCTCGGAGCTCGGGACGGTTTTTTTCGTTCTCGTCGCCGATCTTCACCGCGTCGTGGTCCTAGCTGATCTGGCCGACCATCACACTGAGGACAAGCCCCCGGCCCACGCTGCCCTCGGTCATGGGGCCGGCCCGCATATCAGAGTGGGTCGTCGAAATGCCCGGCGCGCAGCTGCTCGGCTAACCACCACAGGTGGCCTGCCACGCTGTTCTCGGAGAGCGGCCGCATCGGGTCCACGAGCGGGACGATGAAGACGGACATGCCGTCGATGACGACATCTGCAGGGATCGCGCACCCCCCTTCCCCCCACAGCCCCCCGATGCCCCCGGCAGAAGCGGGGCCGCGCACCACCTCGTGCAGCGCATCGGCTGCGCCGCAAGCTGCGAGAAGCCTGGACCCGACCGAAGATTTGAACACCAGCTTGCGCCATCGGCTCACTTCGCCCAACAAGCAGCACAACTGTTTGCCAGTGCAGCGGCACTTGCCGCGACATACGTTGACGGATCCCCACTTGTCACACCCTGTCTCCTCTTCCCTCCTGAACGACCCGTCGCTGCGTAAGCTGCGTCACCCGGGACACACTCCATAACCGCGAACGCAACGAGTGTCTGTATTATCCAAATAAGCTTGCCCTACAGGAGTCCTATCTCATCTGAAGAAACTTGGCATTTAGGCCCCCCCCTTTCCCAATGGCGCCCCCCCTTATTTCAAATGTACCCCCCCTTTTGCCAATGGCACCCCACCATATTTCCAATGCTACCCCCCCCCACCCAGCTATGTCCAATGGCGAGCCCTATGGATCCCCATGGATTCCTACGAGTCGTATGGATTTCCTATGCCCATGCCAATGCCTATATACCAGTGCCTATGCCCATGCCTATGCGTATGGAGTCCTCTGGATCCTGAGCTCGGATTCCGATGGATGCCTATGGATGCCCATGCCTATGCCAATGCCAATTCCAAGGCATATGCCTATGCCAATGCGTATGCCAGTGCCTAAGTAACGCGATGCAATACGAAGCAATGCCATGCAATGCTCAGGCATGAGAAGCACCTCCATGCAATGCTGAACAAGGCAACGCAATACCACGCAATGCCAAGCGATGACCTGGCCCAGATTTTGCATCATCGTCACCATTTTCCACCCCACCATCACCATTTCCACCCCCACACACACCCACACCCCGATTTGCTCAAGCTTACTCCTATGGCTCTCCGTACTTGCATGGCTGCCCGTTTCTTTTGGCTCGTTTTTTTTGCGCTTGCCATGTCATGCTTGGCGTACTCTCCTCCCGCCCACTCCCCCTCGTCTTCTCCTTCTCTCGCGATCCTCCAGTCCATGGATCTATCTGGAGTCTGATATCTTCTGCATGGACAGAACAACTGAATCGACCGTCCTCGCGGAGGGGCTGCGTTTCGCCCCGAGGCTGCCAAGATGGCCCCACGATGGTCCAAGACGGCTCCAAGACGGCCCAAGTGGCGGCCACACGGGCCTGAAAACGCCCCAAGACGGCCCCCAAGAGGCCGGAGACGCCCCCAAATTGCCCCAAGTCGCCCAAGATAGCCTCAAGACGGCCCAAGAGGCCGCCAAGACGGCCCAAGAGGTTTCCAAGAGGCTTCCCAAGAAGTCCCAAGGTCTTTCTTTGGGTTCTTGAAGGTTTTCAGCCTTCTCGCCTTTCGGCTTTCCGACGCTCCAAGAAGGCCCAAGAGGCCTCCAAGACCGCCCCAACACAGCCCAAAAGGCTCCCAGGATGGCCCCACGATGGCCCAAGACGGCCCAAGTGGCGGCCACACGGGCCCGAAAACGCCCCAAGACCGCCCCAAGAGGAGCCGGAGACGCCCCCAAATCGCCCCAAGTCGCCCAAGATTTGTTTTTTGACATCAACGCCACGCCTCCAAAACCTTGGACTGACCAAGGAAACGAGCCAGCAGCGGAGGGGGATGCTGGCACCTTGACCAAGGTAAACACCAGGGTCACCGCGCAAAGAAAATGGCACGACGAGAGGTCGAGAGGACCACTGCGTCCAAGTGCCCAAGCTCATCACGCACCTGCCACAACATCTCTACGAGAGGGGGCAGGCGCGCTGGGCCACGGAGGGCACAGAGCTGACAGCGCAAAAACATCCAACTGCAGAGCATTGCAACTGGAAGGCTCTCTCGTGCCGACTGCCCTCGGCTGAACAAGAGGGACAGCGAACAAGACAGTGCCCCACCCACACGCCAGTGGCTGCATGCGGTGGGGGGCAAGGCGGAGGGGCGTGCAACGAACGCACACACGAAGACGCGCGCCCAACGCCTACCAAAAGGATGTTGGGGCCAGGAACCAAAGCCCCAGGCCGCAGCAACATCGGACGAGCCACAGTCGGGATAAAGATACCCCCGTGCTCGGAAACGCAGAGCGCACCCTAGGTGTGCATGCACCTTCCCCCAAGAATGGGGTGCCTGACACGCGTGCACGACGGACGCACGCACAGCGAACAGCACAAAAACAAGCAAAGAAGAAGATTCGACCACCCACAAAAGGACGGCGAGCCCGCAGTCCCTGGTGCAGAGAGCGCCAGGACGACCTCAGTCACGCCCCAGATGTGGGGTAAAGCACGGATGCCTGCCAAAAGGGTCAGTCGCATCGGGCCGTGCAAGGAAAGAAAGATAGGCCGCCCTGTGCCACAGCAACTCAATCTGAACTATCCGACTCATCCTGGCGCCGTCTCGCCAGGAAAGAAGGGGCGTGTCGTCGTGACTGCTGGGGTCCCTGCCGCGCCTCACCCCAGCACCCAGACCCCTCTTCCTCCTCCTTCTCCTTCGCCTCATCATTTCGCCTCCAGGTGGCACCAAGGGAAGGTTCCAGGTGGCGCCAATGGAAGGCAATGGCCGCCTTCAGTGGACCGATCGCCCTCCTCCTCCTCCTCCTCCTCATCTTCCTCCTCCTCCTCCTCATCCCCATCATCCTGGTCCTCCTCTCCCTCCTCACTTCCCAGTACATCTTCTCCTCCCCGCCCTCATTGAAGCAGCTGGCGCTGCTCTGCGTCGGCCGAGGCCCCGTCGGCCCCACGGTCCCACAGAAGCCCGGCGAGCGTCGGGTTGGCGTCGTCCTCCGACTTGCTGCGCGGCGCACAGCACGCGCTGTACATGATGAGGGAGCCGCACGCAATGAACGACAGCGCATAAAAGAGAAGTGGCGCCGTCAGGCAACTGACATCGTCAACGTGCGCAGCAAGCGCCCCGCAACCAAAAGCCAAAGTTTTAATTACCTTGGTGGTGATGACGGCTGCGCTCATCGTGGCGTCTTGGTAGGGTGGCTTGATGGCAAAGACGAGCGCCGTCGCGGCGCACACCGTCATCGAACATGATGGACCCACGAACCCGGAAAGGGATATAGACATGTGCAGCATGGTCACGTTTTCACGATACCCAACTGGGCGACACCTCACGAAACATCCCACGAGACACCCCGCGAAACATCCCACGAGACACCTCACGAAACATTCCACGAGACACCTCACGAAACATTCCACGAGACACCCCGTGAAACATTCCACGAGACACCCCACGAACAGGCAACCACTCAACCAGACACCCCACGAAACATTCCACGGGGGTGCGACTGGGTGTGGTCGTGCTGGGGTGTGGTCGTGCTGGGGTGTGGTCGTGCGTGGTCTGGGGTGTGGTCGTGCTGGGGTGTGGTCGTGCTGGGGTGTGGTCGTGCTGGGGTGTGGTCGTGCTGGGGTGTGGTCGTGCTGGGGGGTGGTCGTGCTGGGGGGTGGTCGTGCTGGGGGTGTGGTCGTGCTGGGGGGTGGTCGTGCTGGGGCGTGGTCGTGCTGGGGCGTGGTCGTGCTGGGGCGTGGTCGTGCTGGTCGTGTGGTCGTGCTGGGGTGTGGTCGTGCTGGGGTGTGGTCGTGCTGGGGCGTGGTCGTGCTGGAGTGTGGTCGTGCTGGGGGGTGTCGTGCTGGGGTGGGGTCGTGCTGGGGTGGGGTCGTGCTGGGGTGTGGTCGTGCTGGGGTGGTCCGCACCCTGTGATTTATCGATCGGGTCGTGCTGGGTGTGGTCGTGCTGGGGTGTGGTCGTGCTGGGGTGTGGTCGTGCTGGGGTGTGGTCGTGCTGGGTGTGGTCGTGCTGGGGCGTGGTCGTGCTGGGGCGTGGTCGTGCTGGGGTGTGGTCGTGCTGGGGTGTGGTCGTGCTGAGGTGGCTCGCACCCTGTGATTGATCGATCGGGATTTCAAAAACAAGCGTTTCGCCTGAGACATCCTCAAATTTTAATCCGCCGGCCCACCTCGACCTCGATATTCATCAGGGAAAGAATCCGCCGGCCCACCTCAACTGAGGCACCGGGGACAAGTTTACCTACTAAAGGAGAACCCTGGGCCCACGCCCTTTCCGCGAAAAAATCATATTCCGCGACGGCGTGTAGGTGGTCTGCGTAGCAATGATCACGAGGGCCACCCACGAAAAGAGGTCAGCATACGCAGTCCACTTCATGTGCTCTGGATTGGGCTGAAGCGGACCGAAATTCGTGCACTGTACGCGGCGCTTCCTGCCCTGGAGCCAAGCCGACGGATGGCAAAGGGTGCTGGGCTCCACGTCATGGACGTTCCCCTCCGCGCCAGTCAATGGAAGGGGCATGGCAAAATAGGCGACCCCTCCGACTACGGCAAAGACGGGCAACAACAGATGAAGCCCGGTGTAGCAAGTAATAGCTGGAGCCACGTCGAGCACGCGGTGCTCCTTTACGACGTGGCAGTCCACCACCGACGCCAGCTGCTTGACCAGTGGGACCACACAGAGTCCACTACAAATCTTCACTGCGAACGCGAGTTTGCGATAGCACGCCTTGCAATAAAATTGAAACTCTGTTTTTTTTTTTTGACTTCAACGCCACGCCTCCAAAACCTTGGACTGACCAAGGAAACGAGCCAGCAGCGGAGGGGGATGCTGGCACCTTGACCAAGGTAAACACCAGGGTCACCGCGCAAAGAAAATGGCACGACGAGAGGTCGAAGACCACTGCGTCCAAGTGCCCAAGCTCGTCGCGCACCTGCCACAACATCTCTACGAGAGGGGGCAGGCGCGCTGGGCCACGGAGGGCACAGAGCTGACAGCGCAAAAACATCAAACTGCAGAGCATTGCAACTGGAAGGCTCTCTCGTGCCGACTGCCCTCGGCTGAACAAGAGGGACAGCGAGCAAGACAGAGCCCCACCCACACGCCAGTGGCTACATGCGGTGGGGGGCAAGGCGGAGGGGCGTGCAACGAACGCACACACGAAGACGCGTGCCCAACGCCTACCAAAAGGATGTTGGGGCCTGGAACCAAAGCCCCAGGCCGCAGCAACATCGAACGAGCCACAGTCGGGATAAAGATACCCCCGTGCTCGGAAACGCAGAGCGCACCCTAGGTGTGCATGCACCTTCCCCCAAGAATGGGGTGCCTGACACGCGTGCACGACGGACGCACGCACAACGAACAGCACAAAAACACGCAAAGGAGAAGATTCGACCACCCACAAAAGGACGGCGAGCCCGCAGACCCTGGCGCAGCCAGCGCCAGGACGACAGACGGTCACGCCCCAGATGTGGGGTAAAGCACGGATGCCTGCCAAAAGGGCCAGCCGCATCGGGCCGCGCAAGAAAACACAAGACGGCGAACCCTCGCCACTGGGAAAACTCGACCACCCACACAAGGACGACGAGGTCCGAGGCCCCTGGTGCAGAGAGCACCAGGACGACCTCAGTCTCGCCCCAGATGTGGGGTTAAACACGGATGCGTGCCAAAAGGGTCAGTCGCACCGGGCCGTGCAATGAAAGAAAGATACACTAGGGAGGGTGAAATCCGCCGACCCCTTGGGGATCATCGGCGCGTGGGCGGTTTCCCCCTCCACAAACCCCTCCCCCTGGAGCCTGGTCTGGTTGATTTGGAGGGGGGGTCCGTAAGGTGCGGGATTCAATGCGATTTGACGGTGGTGTTTACAAGCGTACAAAGTGTAAGTAATGTGTATACGAATGTATGTTGTAGGAGTGTGTGTGTGTGTGTCAACACACATAATGTGTATATGTACACCGTTTCAAATGTGCATACAAACACATATATATATATATATATATATATATATATATATATGTATTATAAACATATATAAACATATATAAATATGTATATATATATATATATGTATATATAAATGTGGCACGAATCATCGACGTCTTATGCGTACGCATCGCTAAACGTGACGCCCGTGTGTACGTTTAGGAAAACAGGAACACATACATACACAAAAATGTATAGATACGCATAGTGACTGAGCCCGTGTCTACATGTACATGTATATATATATATGTGAATATATGTAGCACTACAAAATATTGCAACCCACGGCGAACAATACATGCACACACCTCCGTTACATATACGTACACGTGTACAACCATATTGTATATATACATATATATATGTAACATACAAGTTCTATATTTCGTATACATTTATAGATCCGCATGCGCACACATAACACTTACACATAAACATATACAATACCGCATACGCATACCCGAACATACACACACACACATGTAGGAATGAAACAAGCGTCTTGCGTACGCTAGCTTATGCGTAATGTAACCATGTGTGTTTGGCAGGGAGTGGGAGCGGGAACGAAACGGGCAAACATATCAAATACATACACACACATATGTATATAGATGAACGTAGCAATACATTGCATTATTCCAGAAACGGCATTGCACATACCTGTGTTACATGTATGGAATCCGGTACCATCCTTAATTTCGTTTGAATTTACAACGCCATATTCGCAAACATTGTACATGCACACGTATGTTTATATACATCTATGCATATACAGCTTTATATGCACACCGCACGCCGACGGGCGGGGCGCAGACGGGGAACTGGGGCGCGAGCACGGCGGGCCAGGACGGGGCGACAAGGGGCAGGAGCAAGGGGGTGGGCTCCAGGAGCAGAATGCACTTTTGCCGGTGAACCCCAAATCGAACCATATCCACCCAAGACAACTACAGTCAGAATACCAGAAACGCATTCTGGACCCGACCATGTCCAATCAGGCACCTCTGATTGTAAGCGACGGGGGCGGGCAACGCAACGCGCAGGGGATCGCTGCGCGAGCGCCCCGAGCCAGCAGCAGAACGTCATCGGCCAGGGCCCAGGCCAGCAGCTGGGCTAACATGCGCCACGTGCCAGTCACGGGTCGCCCACTGGCTGCGTGGCATCTCGCGCCACTCCGACCCGTAGCTTGCATGCGCATCGCAATTGCCGCCTGCAAAGAGGGCTGCGTCCATCGGCATGCCTGGAGAGAACGCATCGCTCTGGGAGCGCTTTGGCGCATGCATCTGCGGGCCCGCAGGGCATGGGACATCTGCGCGCCCTCGCTGGGGCTGGGTATCTCAACTGGCCGTGGACCAGGGCTTATCGCGATGATCCCTCCCTGGATCTCCTCGTGGCTTGGCGGGCCAATGATGCACTCTCGCACCGCGAGCTCAAGCGGGAACTCTCTGTCTGGGCCATGTTGGAGGCGCCGTGGCGCGCGAAGGTGCCTCAGCGCCGCGCGGAAATCACTCTCGTGTCGGAGTCTGGTGCCGGGGGCCCTGCCAGCGCAGATGTCACCGAATCGATTTCGCTGGCGCCTGGCAGCAGCTGGCTCCAGAACTGCCGGTGGTTCGCCCTGTTAGCCACCCGACGTCGCGCCAACGCCCGTCGTGAACTCCGCCGTCGGCCCGAGCTCGCGCGGACTCACCGCGGGGCTGCGTTAACGACGTCTTCAAGTTGTCACCCGGAGGTTCTTGTGGACGTACAACATGCTAGCTGGCGTCCCAGCTGTTGCCGAGGTCAAATCCAGTTTCGATGGCCCTGGCGCGGATTGGCCTGTCGTTCGCCTTGCGGCCGTTCTGTCGAACTCCCTGCTGATTTTCATATCGCCGGCAACGTCGACGCCGTGCCCCTCAGGGGTCTAGGGCGGCGCGGCTGCACAGCTCGGTCTCTGCCCCGACCGAGCGGTCGGGCAGCTCCCCGCGCGAAGGCGGCCGCGCAACTCATGGCGCAGGCTGCTGCCAGAGCAGAAAACGGTTTCAACGGATGGGGCGTGAGGCCCTTGGGCGAACAACGCCACGCATCGCCGTGGTGTACTTGCGGGCCCTCTCGGGGCACATGGGGGCCTGTCGGGGGCTGTGGGGCCTGTCGGAGCATCTGGGGCCGCCCCGGGGCGCCCGTTGGCCCGTCCGGCGCATTCGGAGACCGCCCTGGGGGCATCTCAGGGCCGCCTTGGCGCCATCTTGGAGCGCTTCTGGGCCGTCTCGGGGCTCTCCCGGGAGCCCCCCGAGCGATCTCGAGGCCGTCTTGGGCCGACTTGGGGGCCTCATGGGCTGCCCGGGCGCTATCTCGGAAGCCCCGCGGGGCCGCCCAGGGCGATCGGAGAACCCATTCGCGCGGGAACTTCTGCTTTAGCATGCCCGAATCTACCTCGCGATCCGCCGCCGCGTCTGCGCGGGGAGGGCGCGTCCGCGCGCCCCCGTGGCCCCTTCTGGGAAGGCTTTCTCAATGGTCAAGAGGCTCTGGCGACGGACTCGCGACAGCCCATGAAACCGTCGAAACGGCCCAGGGTGAATCCAGGAGAGCTCGAGATGGCGTTGGAGCAAGGTGGCGCAGGTTGAGCAGAGTAGAGTAGGGTAGCGCTGAGTATAGTAGAGTAGCGTAGATTGGGGCATGGTAGAGCAAGGTGGGATAGACTAAGACGAGAAGGTAATCGCAAAGCAGAGCAGGAGGGAGGCAGGTAGAGTAGGGTAGAATAAGGTAGGGTAAGGTAAGGTCGGACAGCGGCTCATCCTCCCCCTCCAATCGCCCCCCCCCCGCCCCCCTCACCGTTCCTGCGAAGCGGGGGGGGGGGCGACCGCGCCCGCCCGGGGGCGCGCTGCGCCGCATCGATCACGCCCCATCAAGTGGGCCACGTCGGTTTCAGGAATGGCCCGATAAATTTCCACGCCCACCAAGGTGGCCCAAGCTGGCCCCCGGCACGGCCCGCGATAGCCGAGCGTGCCCGATGCGCCTTGAGAAGCACCCTGAGGGGGAGCGCCGTGAGGATGGTGATGTTGTTTACGGCGATGCTGTTGATGGCGCTGGTGATGGCGACGCTGCGCGACTGTTTGCCGAGCTGAATGGGCAGCGGCCCATCGGCCCGAACAGTCGGGGCGATCTCGAGACCACTCCAGCCGACCACTGCTGGTCAGCAGCGGAAAAAAAACTTGCGCTGTTCTGCAGACGTGCCAAGTGCTCATTATCAATCGCTGTCCTCTGCCTATGCGTCGGCGCCCACCCCCCCCGGTGCCCCCAATCTTGAACGCGGCCGAGTACGCGGTCTGGAGCCGAAGGCCGTTCGGCCTGGCCGGGGCGACCTGCTGCTCCGTGCCGCCGAAGACGTGGCTGATGACTTCGGGCGCGGCCTCCATGGTCGGGTGCGCGATCGCATTCTGGGCGACCTGCTGGCGCCTGAAATGCGTCGGCTCGACGCGGGGCGCGCTGGCCCCAGCGGCGGGGGCGCCGTCAGACGCAGCGCCGACGGCGCCGGCCGCGGCCGCCCCCGCGGCCGAGCCCTGGGACCTCGGGCTCCACGCTGGCGGAAGGGCAGCGACATCGCCCTGGGGGTGCCCGGGTTCCGCTGCGGAGGGTGGTCGGGGGCGCCCGGCGGCGCCCAGCCTGGCGGGGGGCGGTCAGGGGCGCGACGGGGTGACATCGCGCCTAGGCGAAGCGGGGCCGCTGCGGACTGGGCCGCGGAGCCGAGGGCGCCGCGCTCCCGCCGCGGGGCCGAAACCGCTGTGGAATGGGCGAGGGGCGGGAAGAGCGATCGGTTAGCTCCATCGTCGCGCCCCTTATATTTGCGCATCGCATCTTCGCTCGCCTCTTGTTCCATACTTTCGCGCCTCTTATAGTTGCGCCTTTTCGTTTCGCGCCTCTGAGATTGCGCTTCTTTGCCCTCGCGCCTATAATATTTGCGCGCATTTGTTCTCGCGCCCCCTATCATCGCGCCTTTTGTTTCTTCGCCCCTCTCGCAGTGCCCTGCCCCTGGCTGTATCTTCGCGCCTCTTGACTTGACAAGTTCTTTCTTGGCGTATATTGCTTATTTGTTCGCGTCGCGTCAATATCTCTATTCTTATCTTCGCGCAGATGGATGCTCGGGCAGAGGGGGCGATGGCACTTGGCGCCCCCATTTCTCTGGGCGCGCCATGATCGCGGACTGCGCGTTCGTTTGTTCGGGCCGCGCCCGCGCGCGGAGCCGCGGCGACCAGCCCGGGCGCGCGACGCATCAGACGCGGAACCGCGGCGATCAGCCCGGGCGCGCGCTACATACACACATGTACATATATATATATATATATATATATATATATATATACATACATACCTATACATACACATACATACATATGTATTTATGTGCACAAATATTTCCCACAGCCGCGGTGGTTTGCCCAAGACATTCCGCGTTCGTGAAAGAAAACCCACAGTTCCAGAGGACAGCTCCTCGCCCACCCCGCTTCCTCCTCTTCTTACCCGTCAAACAACACACTCAAAACGAGGCTTCCGCCTGAGAGGTCCCAAAAAAACACACCCAAAAGGAAGCTCTCGCCTGAGAGGCCCCAAGAAAAACACTCAAAACGAGGCCCCCGCCTGAGAGGCCCCAAAAAAACCCAAAGAAATCCAAGAACCACCCCTCTCACCCCTGCAACTGCCCCCCCCCAAAAAAACAACAACAACAACAACAACAACAACAACAACAACAACAACACACGCACAAAAAAAAAAAAAAAGAGGAGAACTCCTCGTCATCTTCCAGAGGGCGGGTAAGAAGAGGAGGAAGCGGGGGCGGGGGAGTTCTCCTCTGAAACTTTGGGTTTTTTTTTGTTTTTTGGGGACAGTTACAGGGATGAGAGGGGTTGCTCTTGGATTTCTTTTGGTTTTTTGGGGGCCTCTCAGGCGGGAGCCTCGTTTTGAGTGCTTTTTGGGGGACCTCCCAGGCGGGAGCATCGTTTTGGGACCTCCCAGGCGGGAGCACCGTCACGTGGGAGGTTCATGCTCTCCTCTTTCCTTTCCCCTTCTCCCTTTCTTTCCTTCCTCCTCCCTCACCCTCCTCCTCCTCATCTCTCTCTCTCTCTCTCTATCTCTCTCTCTCTCGTTCTCTCTCTCTCTCTCTCTCTCTCTCTCTCTCTCTCTCTTCTTCTCTCTCCCTCTCTCTCTCTCTCTCTCTCTCTCTCCTCTCTCTCTCTCTCTCTCTCTCTCTCTCTCTCTCTAGTCTCGGCTCGAGAGTGCCCTGCACTCAGACCGCAGCCGCGACGCGAAGCGCCCCGCCTCGGAGCCAGTCTCCCAGGCCTCGCGAGACCGGAGGGGTCCCAGCAGGACCCTACTGATTCGCGTCACCTCTTCCCTCCCACCAGAGCGCCCGCCGCAATGGCCCCCGCCAAGCCGGAGCGCCGTCGCTCTTCCAAGCAGCCGCCGAGCTCACGTCCTGCAGCTGAAGGATCCCTCCTCCAACGCAAACAGGACTGCATTGCAGCCTTCAAGCAAGCGGGGTCTGACCGCCCCACAGCCGCATACAACGGGCTCGCCGAGCTGAACGCGGACGAGCTGCAGGCCACGTACGACATGCACAAGACCAACACCAAGAAGCTCGGCAGTGCCTTGATTCGCATGTGTGCCGCCAACCAGATCAGCTACACGCTGGATCACCACCAGCGCAGCAAGCCTAAGCGCAATGGTGGTGACACATCCTATCCACCAGCTGCGTCCGCACGTCTTCAGGCTGCGGACGCCAAATTTATTGCCTTGGACCCGGCCTTCTGGAAGGTCCCAGTCCTGGCCGAACCCACATCACTCGACGACGGCAAGACGTACAAGCCCAGCATCAGCCTCCACGACTACGAGAGTGGCGAGCGGCTGCTGCAGCACCATCTCGAGCAGGGTAAGCGTACCACGGGTCAGCTCGCGATCGCTGTCATGGGCCCAAAAAACGACAACTACGTCGGCACCGAGCTCGCCGTCCCCGTGCTGAAGCGCCACCCCAAGGCGCCCAATGTGGTTCACACGCACGTCCCCGTGACCGTGTACCAGCTGGGCACCAAGGAAGTCGCCTGCACGGAAAAAGTAGCCGTCGCCACCATTGATCCTGCCGACCACGTATGCTGGATTCGGGTGACCATACATGAAACCGAAGCCATCGCCGCAGTCCCCTCCATGCATCAGGCCTTCGAGGATCAGTTTTCGGGAGGCGCCCCCGTGAACGGTGGTCCACGCGCCAAGGGTCCTTTCCGAGGGGATTCCGCTCCACAGGACAAGGCGCGCCAAA